GATCACTTGGGTTGTTACCAACATCTGGTGAAAATTTCATGTCATTAGCACCTCTAGTAATATATTTACTGAGAAAATGGTGACGTGTTCAATACTTATTTTACCTGCTGTAATATAGTCGAGATGTCGAAATCAAAATGGTCCAAAGTGTGGTGTCACTTTACAAAATAAGATGCAGAAACTTCCACCTACAACAAATACTTTAAGAATATTTGGTACAAAGACAAATTATTAATAGTTTAAAGTTAATAAGTTGGTCAATTTAAAGTTTGACTTTGACTCAGAAATAATCATTGCTTCATAAACCTCTGTGTGAGTCTGTGTGTTTTATTTATTTATATTTAAAGTACTGATTTAAATACCGTTTAGGAACTGGTACCGTTTTGAAAGTATCAAATTAAACCCTTTCATTACCCAACCCTACTCCCACGGCAGGAATATCTGCTCAGATTATCTTCAGAGCTGTCACCATCATCTGGACTTCCTTAGGATTGTTGGAAGGACAAAACTGAACCAGAATTCAGCAGAATTATCCTGCTGTGTGACACAGACCTTAATAAGTATCTAGAGATATTTTAGTTTTTTGATATTTTGTTACACCTGTACTGTGGTACCATCAGAACCTTCTGCTGCTCATGTTAGAGCCTGAATCAGAGCCTGAATCAGAGCCTGAATCAGAGTCTGAGAATGAAGACCACCAAATCGTTACGTTTTTGTCAGTTCTATTGTAAATAATTCAGTGTAACAGTTCATAAAACATGATAGAAAACAGAGAGAACTGAACGGTTAGAAACAAACAGAAAACACCAGGAGAGACTAAATGAAACTTTCTGCACTTCCAGAGACATGAAGAACACAACAAAGTGCATTTAAGAGTTAAAAAGTGGGTTTTACAGGATGTGTAGGCTTTAAAGGTGATTTTCACATGAACCAGTTGGACAGACCGTCTCTTCCTGTGTGAGCAGGTCAGGTGATCAGTGTGGAGAAGGGCATTCGCTGTGAGAACCTGCCAATCATCACACCCACTGGAGACGTGGTGGTGTCCAGCCTCAACATCCAGGTAACAGCTAATGACATCACTGCTCAGAGCCAATCAGAAGGCAGCCAGGGCTCAAACCTCACTAACCGTGACAAGAATCAGTTTCAGGAGGAGTCCTCCATGACAGATGCTCCCATGCACCTGTTGTTTTTCAAATATACCTTTATTTTTTCAGACAACTGAATGTGACAACAAACATTTATCATGAACACCTCATGTTTCAAATGTAACTGAGCTGATGTCTGCACCGCCTCCATCACAGGGAACATCTGAGGTCTTCTGCACACAGGTCTTTGTCCATGAGGACCCTGGTCCCCTGGTCCCCTGGTCCCCTGGTCCCTGGTCCCCTGGTCCCCTGGTCCCCTGGTCCCTGACCTGTTCTTGTCCTTGTGTCTCAGGTGGATGACGGCATGAATGTGTTGATCACGGGTCCAAACGGATGTGGGAAAAGCTCCTTGTTCAGAATTTTAAGTGGACTGTGGCCCGTTTACGGAGGAGTTCTGTACCGTCCAGAACCCCAGCACATGTTCTACATCCCTCAAAGGTATTACTTCTGGAAGGACGGGTACTCCTTTAGCTCCAACACATGGTACACATGCAGATGTAGTACTCTGAAGTACTGTGTACTGTGCAGGCCATACATGTCAGAGGGGACTCTGAGAGACCAGGTCATCTATCCAGACTTAGTGGAGGACATGGAGCAGAAGAGGGTCACAGATTCAGACCTGGAGGAGATCCTTCGTACAGTTCACCTGCTCTACATCCTGGACAGAGAAGGAGGTCAGCTTCTTTCATTCTTCACTCAGTAAAACATGTAGAGTGTGGCCTGCAGCTCAGAGACACCATGTTACTGCAAATACACAAAGARCTACTCAAGTACTTTGTATTTACTGACTGTGTTTCATCAGTACATAACTGTGACAGTACACAACTGTGACAGTACATTGTGTGTCTGTATTGGTCGACGGCTGTGTTTTTTTTCTTTTTAGCTGAATTTAGATAAATATCTGTTGATGACATAATTTTATTTACTGTTATTTAACCAAATAAGTCCTGCTGAGATGTCAGATGTCTTTCAGAGGAGGCCTGAAGGTACAGTTAGAGTTAGAGTTAGGGTTAGATGTTCTTCATGTTTTTAGTGCTGGGGAAACCAGAGTACCTGGAGAAAACCCACACCAGCATGAGGAGAACATGTAAACTCCACACAGAAAGACCTCAGGTCTGAATCAGGGATTGAACCCAGGACCTTCCTACTGTGAGACGTCGGTGCTAACCACTGAGCCACTGTGCTGCTAAATATAAATAATCATTCAATGTTTGGAAGCCTAATTTAATATCCTGTCAAAAACTGTACAAAGACCCAACTTAATAATTCTGACTTTTCTTATAATTCATCTAAAGAGAAAACACAGCTGTCGACCAGCAGACAGTACAGCTGCTAAACCATGTGCTAACTAAAACTGTTTCACAGTAATATGTTTAATGTTTAATATTTATTCATGACGTCATGTTGAACAGTAAATTCAGTCTGAGGAACACCTGTCAGTGCTGCTTATAGGTTTATATGTCAACCATTGTTGTCGACAAAGTTTTATTTAGTCAAAAACATTTGTGTCTAATAAAGTAGGTGAGCAGCTTATCCATGCTAGTCACTAGCCTCTCTGAAGCTAACACCAGCTTATCCATGCTAGTCACTAGCCTCTCTGAAGCTAACACCAGCTTATCCATGCTAGTCACTAGCCTCTCTGAAGCTAACACCAGCTTATCCATGCTAGTCACTAGCCTCTCTGAAGC